CACGACGCTCTTCCGATCTCCCCAAAACCCCAAAACCCCTTAAGAAGAATATACGTTGAATATGAATTTAATAATTTAGAATTATAAATAGTTGCGAAATGCACTTAAGTGAAAGAAATTAACATCCATTTAGACAGTTGACCAACGATCAGTTTTAGTTAGGTTCAAAGACAAGACTGCAAAATGAAATGAGGCCAAAAACCATTAAAAACGATGATGTAGAAGATGATATGGAATAGTGGGATACAGAGGAAAACTCGATAAGACCTATTCAAACTATAAACAAGGCTGAAAATTTCTTAAATTATAAAAAAACTAATAATAATGAAAGGCCATAAAATTATCATTCAGATATTCAGGTTACTTAAAATAGCGCTGGTAAATTCAAGAATTATCTCAGCAATAATGTAAACAACTTTCCACCTAAAAGTGTAAACATTGATGTTACTAATTTGCAGAATTTTAAAGCCAATCAGCATTTTGGAGATGATGATATGCAAAAGGTTTAATTGAGACCTATGTAAAAAATTAATTAAAATAACGAAAATTTGCAGCCCTCTTCGGTAAATTTCTAATAACAGCCAAAATAAAACACTCAAATTGCAACTTTTTAGTCAAGAGCATTTTAGCGATGCATGAATACAAGTTAATCTAAAATAACAAATACCTCTCCTCGATAAGAAGATGAGCAAATAGATCCTGTTTACAAAAAAATGTTCAAGAATCTCGTAAAAGCAAGGGACAGAAGCCCTTAAATCTGTGTGTAAACTGAATAATTAATGAAAAAGTATCCGAATAACCCTGATTAATTAAAAACCTATTTTTCAACTAAAAATGATGACTAAAATCAATAAATTAGGGAGATTAACAAGTCTTGTAGCTAAAGACTATTAGAAAAGGGATAAACATATCAATTAAAGAGAGAAATTCTTAAGAAATATGAAGAAGTTTCCTAAATGAAAGATTGTCTCTTCAGGCCCTAAACTAATAGATCAACTTCACCAAAGAGAAACTTTTAAGATTATATCAGGGACTAATAATAATTTTAGCTTTCAAAGCAAAGAAAGATTTAAGAGAAAATCATTTAAATTGAGTAAGATGAGCAGGAGAAAAATAATGCGACCCTTATCTGCAAAGGATCTTAAAAATTACTTCAAAATAATGAAAGATATAAAAATATCTAAAGCCCATCAGATGTTTCTAGCAATCTTTACGAATAAGGGAAAAATAAATTAATACAAAGATAGAATTCTTATAATTTATTGAGCTCGACTCAATCAACTAAACATGCTAGAGATAACTCCTAAAGTAGCATTTAAGGTAGTATCAATCAGCAAGAGTTATTCCATCCATAAATTAATAAGAAATCTTAGTAATTGTAAAGAAATGAAAGTGTCGAAAATATACTTTACAAAGATGCTCTAGATAGAAGAAGAAATAGCTAAATTAAGCAATCATAATCAAGAAACAGAGAAGGCATAAAAAGGGAGAGCTAAATGAAGTCTGAAAGATATCTCATGCAATCATTCAAAGCTGAGTTTGATAGCGCTGTTCAGAGGTTGCAGATCGAATTTAATAGTTAGAATGAATATGTAGATTTATTTAGGGAACTTGGATTCATAAATGAACTAAATGAGAAAGTTATTCAGGAACAGATAAGTATAATAGAGGATTCATGCATAAGCACATTGTTCAAATTTTCTTAGGAAAAATAGTTAAATGTATATTATCTCATGCTTGCTATAATGAATATAAATCCAAACAAGAAAAAGGGTGAACAAGATCATTCAGTTAATGATTTTTCATCTTTTGAAGTTTAATCCCAATCTAAAGAACAAGTCAAACAAGTTGGAAATAATACCATCTATGAAAATGAAGAATATATGTATGGTGCTTCTAATTACAGTCCTCCATACAGAAAAAATAAAAAGGATATATCAGGAGTTTTAAACTCAAATATTATTGATGCAAACAATGGCTTGCTTATTTTAAATGATGAGCAAGTAAAGATTGTACATAGGTACTTCTTGCCACTTTATTATCAAAGAAAAGAACACCTCAAGCATAGAAGAAAATAGTCAAGTTCACCATAGAGAGTTGAACCCTCATTTAAACCAGCTCTTACATCAAAGACAGTGTAACTCGCCGACAAAGTTTTGAAAAAGCTAAAAAACAATATGAACCAAAATAACTCAAAACATTTCGATATGCTATTGTAACGAGGAGAAGAAATAAAGCAAAAAAAATTGGCGAAATTGTAGGAAAAAATTGAAACATAAGTAGACTCTTGCACTTTTAAGCCTTAAATTTCATTAACCAGTAGAAAATTAGCCTAATCCCAATCATCCTAAAATTTGAGTACAAATTCTCAAGTCACTCAAAATAACAGCACCAGATATTTAGAGCTACATAATGAGCATAAAAATAAAAAGAGATACAGACAAGATAAAACCAGCGAGTAAATTGAATATGAAAAGGCGATAGATGAATGTACTTTTCGTCCTAATTAAAGAAAAACCTCAAATGACAAGACTCCTATTATCAAAGGAAATCTCAGCTCAAATGGAAATTCAAACTCTCATATTGAGTAGGATACTAGTAGAAATATTGCTAATGATACATAATCAACAAATAATGGGAAATCTCCTAAAAACAAATATCATCGTGAGTATAAGCCAAAGCATGACTTAATTGATTAAAATATCAGTATGGATCAGGATCTAATCACCCCAGAGCCACATAGAGACCCTATATATGTAATAGCAGTTGAAATTGAAGGAGCTAAGTATTAGATCAAGATATTTTAACATGATAAGCCAGAAGAAACAGTAAAGAACTTCCTAAAGAATAAAAGTAATTTCGATATTAACTTATTTACATAGATTTGAGTGAAAGAGTTCAAAGAAAAATCATTAGAATGGTAAAAGAATAGATGGAAGAGGCTGATAATTAAACTGATGAATCTGAATTAATATAGGAATAATAGAGATTCAAAAGGCCACCAAACTCATATTTAGGCTAGAACTAATACTGAATAAATTTGAAATAGCTTTAGATAAGGAAATACTAAAGAAATATTTGACGACATCGAACTTACTAAAATGACTTGATTAAATTTAATCTGATTAACTTTGAATAAAATAAAAACTTCATAATATTTTAATATAAATGGAGCATCATATGAATAATCAAAATGCTCATCACGATTCTGCCCACAAGGGCGCTCATTTAGATCCGAATGATCCAGCTTAAACTCTTGGAAACTAAGGCATAAGTAATATCCCAATAAAATTTAGAAGATAGCATTTATTTAACTCAAAATTTTTTAAGATTTTATATTTACTTTTACTTAGAGGAGAAAAAGACGTTTTATCTAGAGACATCAGCTTTTCTTACTGGAGTAAATATAGTAGAGAAAGGACCTAAGAGACTTGACGATAATATCCCCAAATCAGCTGAAATAAATTAGCATCATTTAAAATTAAATGAACTCATTTCTGTAAGTTACTACATACCATTATTACTTTCCATAATGATCTACTTTTTTCTTTTGAAAAATGTTAATTAAACGATATATTATTGTAGGATCTAGGTGGTAAAATATCAGATGTGATTAAAGATCACGAAAACGATTTCTTCGTAGCTTTCAAAAATAAAATGTATGCCATAATGAAAGAAATGAGAGAGTTAAAAGAAAAAGCTAGCAGTGAAAGACATAAAGCTAAATAAGAAGCAAGACTTATAAATTTGGAAAAAGAAAGAGATTGGTTCAGACGAGAAGCACTCAAACTAGATAAGATGTGCAAAGACCATAAAAGAATATTAAATAAACTAAAAGCGACTTTAGAAAATATTGAAGAGGATAGGGATTTCTTTTAAGAGTAACTTTTTAATGCCAAAAAAGTTAACAAGGCTTTACTAATGGAGTTAGAAAAGTATAAAAACTCATTAATGAACGTTGGATCTGAGCAGTCAGGCTTTAATACAATGAAACTTTAATATCAATAGCCATTAGCAATTCAAGAGGATGATTCAAAATATCAAAAGAAGTAAAACTCAACTTCAAAGCTGAAAGCAAAGATTGATTAGGCTTTAAAATAGAATCCTGATGATATTAATGATATGATTTATGATGAAGAAGGAGGTGAAAATACAGACTTTAAGTATAAAGACGAGTTCGATGATATAGATTACAAATACTTAGAAGATGGAGATGGAGGAGCGAGAGCCTCGGACTATAAATTTTTACAATCATAACTCTTGAGTACTGCTTAAAAGGAAAGAACTCAAAAACTAGAATAAAGAGCTATAGAACCTCCTGTATCCAATAGTGGAATGGTTTCAATTGAAGAATACAGAAAAATTGTTTAGGAGAACGCTGAATTAAAGGAAAGAGAGATTAAGTATACTGAAACAATAAGGCATCTGAAAAATTAGATAGACTCTGAAAAGAAGAATGCTAGATCTTTGAGAGCTGATAAAGTTAACTTCATGATGCAAAGAAATGAACTAGAAGAATTTTTCCTGTAATGTATCGAAGAAGTTCGTAAAGATATAGTGAAGAGGAAATCAATTACAACTAGCTATTAATCAAAGAAGAATTTGAAGAGATCAACATCTACAGCATCTATGTCAAAGCAAGGAAGCCAAGCATACTAGGAAGAAAATTAAATCCCAAATGCTAAACTTGATTAATATACAGCAACTGATAAAAGGAAAGTAATTGAACTGTTGATGTCTAATGAAAATGTCTTACTATTCCTCTATGAAAAGTTGTTTCCTGCCACTAATTTATCTTCGCAAAGCACATAATCAAGATAAAATACTGCTGCAATGAGTTTGGGAAGTGGTATGAGATTCACTACTGATTCTGGCATTCCCATAGGAAATCCTTATATTGGATCATAATCAACAATGCAAGGAAGGTCTTAAACTTCCGTGGGTGGATCTAGGATTAATATTAACAGAGCCAATATGAATTCACTAGGAGGATTCGGTGGTGGAATTGATCCCAATGTTATCACATAGAGTACCTTACCATAAGCGACTGCTGCAGGAATGAGCATTTAGAACAATATCTAAAATCTAAATCTAAACATCAACCTTTCAAAAGGAGCATATGGAGCACAATAATTCTTACCCTAATCATTCACAAATAATAGAGGCGCTACAGCTCCTATAGGATAAGCCAGAACCAAAAAGGGAATGCAAGTTTAATTAAATGCTTTGGGCAAGGGCAATAAATATGCTATTTGATTATATATTTTAACTTGACTTACTTAATTTTCATCATTATAATTACTTGGGGTTTTGGGGTTTTGGGGTTTTGGGG